TGACAGGAATTCTCCCAATGCAAGAGGCTGGACCTGCATCAGTGATTCACATGCAGGAGAGATTGATGATTGATACAAATAAGGTAAATACCACACAGTAACTGCCTGCGTCCAAACAGAACACTCCTGTCATCCTGTTAATTGTTAGTAAGCCATAGTGCAGCGTTTTCCAACAGCCAGTAACTCCATAGGGAGAGCAAAAATATTTTTCAGTTACCCCACAAATAAAAAGATTCTTAAAGTAGATTGCATGTTTGTTTCCCCACTAAACTAACACAGTGTGACAAAATTCGGCATAACTGTCTAATATCCAGTATCTGCGGATATCAGCGTGACAGAGTAAAACATTTTGCCTGTCAATTAACAAATGCAGAAATCAGCAGATGAAACAATAACAAAGTGTTGCCCCCGCCTCCGTTTCAGTAAAAAGCTAAGGGATGGGGCTGGAGAAATGTAACCACTCCCAAATTCATAGATAGAGCTATGGATGCAAGGACTGTACATCCATGATATCCAAATTATGGTTTTAACCATGTTTTGAGGCTATATACTGTAGTGTGTGTTTACATTTACTTTGTTTACAAACATTGGAGTAAAACACACTTATATTTTGGGTTCTGATGGGGTACGACAGTTTAACTAAGCTTATGAGGCATTTAAAATCTTCAAGAATCAATGGGTACATATAATTAATGTATAAGTCCAAAAAGAATGTAGCAACTGCAGATTGGCCCTTTAAGCTCAACTTTCAAAATAATGATAAAACCAACACCGACCATCAGTTAGTTACATTGAGTCCAACACATTTCGATGACAGTTTTATGTTAACGTATCTACAGTATGTGAATAACACAAGTCATAGCATCAGAGTGTGAACGGCAATGCAAGGACAAAGACAACACTGAGAAGTGAGGCGAGTTCTCCATGACCTTTGAGTCACAACAGACGCATGGACATCCTAATTATAGTGCAGTCTTTGAAATACAAAGGAGGGTCAGGTTACACGTTTCAACAGCAGAACAGTGGTAAGGTGTCCAGCCATCATTCCTTCAGTCTGACAGACAGTTCTCATAACACAAGCAGACTGGACAGCTGAGTATGAGGCGTAAAAAGGAAGGTCGAGCCAAGAATAGACTGTTCAAATATTGAGACTAAGTAAGGAGCTTAATGGGGGGGGGGGGGGGGGGGGGGGGGGGGGGGGTAGAACATTTGAGGGTCAAATCAAACAGTGCAATGAAATGCTTCCTTGCAAGCTTCCTCAACAGTGCAATGTAAAAAAACTTTTTTTTTTTTTAAGTTAAATAATAGAGCATTGGGCAATAGTATGTAAGAGGCACTAATGCAAAATACAAGTGAATACAAATACTAATGTCAATATGTTGTGGATCATGGCAGATTTTAGAGGCTTGAAATATATTGGCTGATGGGTGGGGGGTGTGACATGTACAGCGGGGTCCGAAATGATTGACACGCTTGATAAAGATGAACATTAATGACTGTACAAAATGTCTAAATCAAATCCGGAGCTATATTGTATGCTCCAAAAAAATATATTATTTTATACTAAAACGATTCTACCACGATTACGGATAATTTATACCATGATTACGGATAATCCTGAATGAATCGTGAATAATGATTAGTGATAAAGTTACAGAGGGTCAAAGATCATACCCCCAAGACATGCTAACCTCCCCTGTTATTGGTAGTGGTGAGAGGTTAGCATGTCTTGGGGGTATGACCTTTGACCCTCTGTAACTTTCTCACTCATCATTATTCCCGATTCATTCAGGATTATCGGTAATCATGGTAGTTTCCACATTAATATAAAAGTGTTTAGAAAAATATTTTATTGTTATTTATAAAAGTGACTCCAAAATGACACAATACATTATTTACCATTCATTTCTATTGGTCACATAATAATCTGAAACACGAACAAAACGAACTGCGAATGCATCCAACAAGTTTGTAGAGTCATGATCAGTATGCATTTCCTCCTGTAGTGACAGGAATTCATTTCTCGGCAGCTGGGAATTGGACACCTAACAGTGTCATTGAGGAGTAGCATGTGGAAGCTAATTAGGAAACCTTGAGGCTGAAAGCCCAAGGTGTGAAAGCTGTAGGAGTCAAAGGTCCTCCTCTATGTCTATGTCTAAGGAGGGAACTCTCTCTGGCGATGACAACCACTATATTGTCACCTTGTAGACAGCTTGTAGACAGCTTCACACTAATGCATTGACAGCTATCTTGACCTTTTACAGCGTGTTACTACAAATCAAAGACCTGATGCCCCTTGGGTCAGCACCTATATATAGTATTTTACCCAGGCTTTTCTAACCTGATTAGCCAGCACCTTACACAGGTTATTATAACAAAAAAAGGTTGAAGGTAGAAGTGACATCCTAACATTTATAATATAAGTGTTTTTTTCTTAACCTTTAATTTTAAAACAGGAATATTCCTAACATACATTGAGTCCCTCTAGCGTGACTTTCTTGAGGAAAATGACATGTATTACTCCATGTGTGGCTTTAATTCATTTACTTATGTGCACTTCATATACTGTACACCAAAAGAACAATTTCACAGGGTTATTTTTGTCCTCAAGGACAAAGGGAAGGAAACAATGCCACGTCAACAAGATGAGGTCTAGTGTTATACTTACAATAGCTGTTACTCTTGGTGACAATAGATGTGTGAGTGACCTTGTCTTGGTGAACAAAAGACAGCTGCACTTGTCTACATCATAAGAACTCTATCATGCAATTAATTTACACAACAACAACACTTTCTCATGTCAGGTATAAATCTTAACAAAAATTGACATTTATTACTTCAAACTGTTTTTGGAGCTAACTTACTTTGTGTCATTGCACATTAAAATACATAATTTGATGAATTCCCATTGGTCAAACATACATGCTTGTCATTTTTAGATGACTACAGTGCCTGAGACTGCCCTTTGATCAAGTGGGCTTTCAATGCAGCCAATTTCTCCCCTCCTCTGTCCGCCCTGGAATAGCCTGTTGTTACAACCAGCCTGATAGGTCAAAGAGGTATACACCTCTAGCCCCAAATACAGATCTTTTGAAATAATCAGTGTAATTTATGTCATGACATGACCCATCTCCATATAGGGCTGAGCAACTCTCTTTATAAAGAGTGATGGAGACCAGGGGAGTCAGACCAGGGGAGACAGAAGGCACCGGACATCCTGAAGGTAAGCATATAGAGGCAGTCTGCTGAGGCCAAAGATAATCATTCTGGACCTGATAACTGTCATTACCGCATAAAACTGGCCACTCCATTGATATTTGTCTTTGTATTTGTCTATTTCATTCTCAGTAGAGATCTTTTCCACCAAACGTATCCAAGGGGTGATCAACAACAGGTAAGAATCATAATCTTCTAAAATAGAGGTTCTACAACATGCCTCCTAGTGGTTTGCGTGAAGTCTTTAAATGTGTTTCATAAAAAGTATAACAGCTTGCCAAATTTGTATACTAATGCAAAAAGAAAGATATATATATATATACAGTATAGTTTTATTTTCTTGTCTGTACTCATTAATCTAGTCAACTTGTTTATGTTGCATTATACATCTTTCCTATATAGTAATTACATGTTGTCAGTGTCATCACTAACATAAGCTGTATATTTCAGCTACAGTGGACCCAGCTACTTGTGGTCTGCTGTGAACCTTATTTGTTTTGGTTTATATTCAATGTGCTTTTGGTTTACTGACCTTCATATTGTTCAGATAAACTCTTATTAATCTATGACTCTAAATCTGGTAGCCTACTGGTGTTCTGCTTATATTTTAAAGCTTTATTGGTCTGCCATGACCATTATGCCATGGCTGGTACAGTATACTACTCATATACAGTATATACAGGTAACTGCCAAAATAATGGAAACACTTGAGTAAATAAGGGATATAAAGTGTATTGAAAGCAGGTGCTTCCACACAGGTATGGTTCCTGAGTTAAGTCATTAACATCCCATCATGCTTAGTGTCATGTATAAAAATAATGGGCAGGCCATTATTTTGGCTACCATGGCTATGCCCCCATTTGCAGGGCACGAGTGGTCACTGAATGGTTTGATGAGCATGAAAACGATGTAAACCATATGCCATGGCTGTCTCAGTCACCGGATCTCAACCCAATTGAACACTTATGGGAGATTCTGGAGTGGCGCCTGAGACAGCATTTTCCACCACCATCAACAAAACACAAAATTATGTAATTTTGCATAGAATAATGGTGTCGTATCCTTCCAATAGAGTTCCAGACACTTGTAGAATCTATGCCAAGGTGCATTGAAGCTGTTCTGGCTTGTGGTGGCCCAACGCCCTATTAAGACTATTAAGTGTGTCCTTTATTTTGGCAGTTACCTGTACATACATTCATACTAATATCTAATGTTCCAATTCATTTAGGTCTTCAGGGTAATATTTATGGAACCATTATTTTTGTTGTATTAAGGCAAAATCAGGACAAAGTTACACTGCATTCCAAAACTGGCTGCAGAGAACAGCAAAATACAGCCCAGGAGCCCTAAAGTTGTTTATGTATTTAATATTATTTAATATTAGTGCTTTACACTGATATTAGATTATTACCTATGCATGGTTCCCTTTGTCATTAACAGAATAAAATGTAAAACTGTCAAAATATGGTTGATATTGTAAAAAAATCCTGTAAAGTATGAATATCTAAATGGTTGTAGTTTCTTAAGTTTGAGAAATGTTTGTTATGAGAATCCTGGGATACAACAAACCATGGCATCAGTGAGAAGACAGCCACATGTCAATCTGAAGTTTAGCAAATTGAACCTAATAATTGACAGACAGACAGACAGACAGACAGACAGACACTATACAGTACATACATACACTTTCCACAACAACAAATACATGGTATTATTCCAACTCAAACCTGGTGCTGTATGTAATTTGTATTCAATGCTCTGATCCTGCCTTTACAGGTTTAAGAATGGGGGACGCATTGATGGCAGAGTTTGGCGGTGCAGCTTCCTTTCTGCGTAAATCTGACAAGGAGCGTATGGAATGCCAGACTAGACCCTTTGACATAAAGAGACAGTGCTATGTGCCTGACCCTGAGGTTGAGTACGTCAAGGCCATAATCACCAGCAGAGATGGGGCTAAAGTCACCGCTGATACTGAGTTTGGAAAGGTAAATATGTTGTTGAAAAGCATTTCTAAAAATATATGACCTGGAAAATCATAAAATAAGAAATGTTTCTACTAAGATAACTCTATGATTGATGGACAATGATTTATAAACTGAATTGAGTTATGCACTTTACTGTTTTGTATTTTTTTTTTATCTTACAAGAGATACTAAAGCAGAATCCTTTAAATCTTTAACTTTCATGTAAATTAGACATTACATATTAATGGGTGATTTGTGAAAATTCTATGTTGTGTGTAATCTCAAGTTAGGGTTTGTCTCAAACTGAATAGCTCTGCACCTTGAAAATTACACAAAACAATTTAATTTGCTCTTCTTTCAGACTGTTACTGTGAAGGAGGATGACGTCCACCCCCAGAACCCGCCAAAGTTTGATAAAATTGAGGACATGGCGATGTTCACCTTCCTGCACGAGCCCGCTGTGCTGTTTAACCTCAAAGAGCGTTACGCAGCCTGGATGATCTACGTAAGTAATGACCTGTCTGCTAATATCTCCATTAAATCAATCATTCATTCAAATGAATTAAACTACAGTGGGGAAAAAAAGTATTTAGTCAGCCACCAATTGTGCAAGTTCTCCCACTTAAAAAGATGAGAGAGGCCTGTAATTTTCATCATAGGTACACGTCAACTATGACAGACAAATTGAGATTTTCTTTTCCAGAAAATCACATTGTAGGATTTTTTATGAATTTATTTGCAAATTATGGTGGAAAATAAGTATTTGGTCAATAACAAAAGTTTCTCAATACTTTGTTATATACTCTTTGTTGGCAATGACACAGGTCAAATGTTTTCTGTAAGTCTTCACAAGGTTTTCACACACTGTTGCTGGTATTTTGGCCCATTCCTCCATGCAGATCTCCTCTAGAGCAGTGATGTTTTGGGGCTGTCGCTGGGCAACACAGACTTTCAACTCGATTTTATATGGGGTTGAGATCTGGAGACTGGCTAGGCCACTCCAGGACCTTGAAATGCTTCTTACGAAGCCACTCCTTCGTTGCCCGGGCGGTGTGTTTGGGATCATTGTCATGCTGAAAGACCCAGCCATGTTTAATCTTCAATGCCCTTGCTGATGGAAGGAGGTTTTCACTCAAAATCTCACAATACATGGCCCCATTCATTCTTTCCTTTACACGGATCAGTTGTCCTGGTCCCTTTGCAGAAAAACAGCCCCAAAGCATGATGTTTCCACCCCCATGCTTCACAGTAGGTATGGTGTTCTTTGAATGCAACTCAGCATTCTTTGTCCTCCAAACACGACGAGTTGAGTTTTTACCAAAAAGTTATATTTTGGTTTCATCTGACCATATGACATTCTCCCAATCCTCTTCTGGATCATCCAAATGCACTCTAGCAAACTTCAGACGGGCCTGGACATGTACTGGCTTAAGCAGGGGGACAGGATTTGAGTCCCTGGCGGCGTAGTGTGTTACTGATGGTAGGCTTTGTTACTTTGGTCCCAGCTCTCTGCAGGTCATTCACTAGGTCCCCCCGTGTGGTTCTGGGATTTTTGCTCACCGTTCTTGTGATCATTTTGACCCCACGGGGTGAGATCTTGCGTGGAGCCCCCAGATTGAGGGAGATTATCAGTGGTCTTGTATGTCTTCCATTTCCTAATAATTGCTCCCACAGTTGATTTCTTCAAACCAAGCTGCTTACCTATTGCAGATTCAGTCTTCCCAGCCTGGTGCAGGTCTACAATTTTGTTTCTGGTGTCCTTTGACAGCTCTTTGGTCTTGGCCATAGTGGAGTTTGGAGTGTGACTGTTTGAGGTTGTGGACAGGTGTCTTTTATACTGATAACAAGTTCAAACAGGTGCCATTAATAGAGGTAACGAGTGGAGGACAGAGGAGCCTCTTAAAGAAGAAGTTACAGGTCTGTGAGAGCCAGAAATCTTGCTAGTTTGTAGGTGACCAAATACTTATTTTCCACCATAATTTGCAAATAAATTCATAAAAAATCCAACAATTTTTTTCTCTCAATTTGTCTGTCATAGTTGACGTGTACCTATGATGAAAATTACAGGCCTCTCTCATCTTTTTAAGTGGGAGAACTTGCACAATTGGTGGCTGACTAAATACTTTTTTTCCCCACTGTAAATATGCTTCCCCCTTGTCGTCGACAGACCTACTCAGGGCTGTTCTGTGTTACTGTCAACCCATACAAGTGGCTGCCAGTGTACGATCAGTCTGTTGTCAATGCATACAGAGGCAAGAAGAGGACAGAAGCTCCTCCTCACATTTTCTCCATCTCTGACAATGCCTACCAGTACATGTTGTCAGGTAAAATATAACATTTCCTTTTCATCTACAGAAATCAAATGATATTTGGATAATTACACATTTACTGATACTTCTCTTCCAACAGACAGGGAAAATCAGTCTGTCCTTATCACGTAAGTACATCAACAAAAGGTTATATCCATTTGAGGCTATTTCAGATTAAGAGGAATTCTGAGATATCAACATTTGTATTTTCAATCCCAGTGGAGAATCCGGTGCTGGAAAGACTGTTAACACCAAGAGAGTCATCCAGTACTTCGCCAGCATTGCTGCTGTTGCCGGAAAGAAAAGTGCAGCAGAAGAAAAAAAGGTCAAGTAGAATGCAAATGTTCATTATTATCGATCCTAAATTAAACATTCTTCATGGCTGGATGAACATTTGTTGACAAAATGTAATTTTATTCATAGAGTATTGATTTTCGTTGCAGCATTTTAATACTGTATGGTTGTTGGTTTGTAGGGGACCCTGGAGGATCAAATCATCCAGGCCAATCCTGCCCTGGAGGCTTTTGGTAATGCCAAGACCATCAGGAATGACAACTCCTCCCGATTTGTACGTTTGGTCTTTGTTTGTCAAATATCATTTAAATCTTATTATACATGTTCAGTGTTTCCCATATATGGACCACCACTGTAAAAAATATGTAATTTAATATATATATATTTCTGCCGAGACACGCTTTTAAATGGAAAGTCATTAGCTCAATGACTGGGAACAGCTAGCATTTCATTACACTAATGCTAGTAGCAATGCACTTGAATGAGCCTATTTACAGTATAATACACAAGGTGCAATTTCAAAATTGTGTAGAGAAAAGGTTGCAGTTTTAAAGCAAGTTTGCTGCCAATCTACACATTTTGGAAGATTGAGCCATTTCATAACTAATTTTCAGTTTTAACAGCTAATATCCTGCAATTCTACACATTTTGCCATAGGGTGGAGAGAAATGTTTGCAGTTTTTAATATGATATTTGAGTGAGAGTGACTGGCCTCCATCCCCATCAAAGTTGTCCATCCCTGCATTACACCATGCAAGCTCAATCAAGTGCACCTAAAGTATTCAAAAAGAAAACAAATACTACTTGAACCAAGATCTGGTGTGCTCAGTAATTTCTGCTTTAACAATCATTTACAGGGTAAATTCATCCGAATTCATTTTGGAGTCACTGGGAAGCTTTCGTCTGCTGACATTGAGACTTGTGAGTACAATACTCAATTTGTTCAGGCTTGAACAGATCTATTTGACAGGAAACACATTAATACCAAAATAACTTTTCCATACTTATCAGATCTTCTGGAGAAGTCACGTGTAACTTTCCAGCTCAAGGCTGAGAGAGACTATCACATCTTCTACCAGATCCTGTCCCAAAAGAAACCAGAACTGCTGGGTGAGTATTGAATCATCAAACTGAGTAGGGTTGAGGTCAATTCTGGATTAAACTGAAGATTTCTGATGAAATCAAATTAAATTCTTATGATGTAGCCAGCCCAGGCAGTGTGCTACCCCCATCCCTCCACTGTAAAACTCACAACACAATATAGCGTGATTTATGTTGGAACATTTCCTTTGTCCATAAAAAGTTGCAATTATTAAAAAGTCATTTAAGCACACAACACTAAAACTGTATAACAATCTCCAACAGTTTATTTTAAACGATCCTGTCTATTTATAATATTACTGTTTTCTTATTGCACAAATCATTTTTAATTGACACCCAACCCTAATACTGAGTAGATTATGTTATGACCTATACCACAGCACGAACACAGATTAAAGTGTGCTGTTCAATTCTTTTCAGAGATGCTACTCATCACTAGCAATCCCTATGACTATGCCTTCATCTCCCAAGGAGAGATTGCTGTAACTTCCATTAATGATGCAGATGAACTAATGGCTACTGATGTGAGTAAAATATGTACATATACTGTATATGCAATAACATTTCACTTGTATCCAACTCTCTCTCCAATACAAATCAATGGCCTTTTGTTTCGGAACTAGGATGCCTTTAATGTGCTTGGCTTTGCCCAAGAAGAGATTAATGGCATTTATAAGTTGACTGGTGCCATCATGCACTACGGCAACATGAAGTTCAAGAATAAGCAGCGGGAGGAGCAAGCAGAGGCAGATGGCACTGAGGGTGAGTGCTGAGGATTTAAAACCTCCCTTCAATATACAGTCATCTTTTAAAAATCTGACAATCAATCAGAGTGCCTCTTCCAATCATAAAACGTTGCCTTTCCAGATATTGACAAAGCTGCATATCTGATGTGCCTGAACTCTGCTGACGTGGTCAAGGGGCTGTGTAACCCAAGGGTCAAAGTTGGAAATGAGTGGGTCACCAAAGGTCAGAATGTCAACCAGGTGAGTCTACAATTTTTTAAAATAATATTAAGCATAAAACGTGTCTATAAAGTTGCTAGCTAAGATGTTCCTACGTGTCATTCCCCATTGAGCATGCTTTTTAGTCCAGGACTAGGCCTAATCTGTGTCTAGGAAACTGTCCCTATGTGTTTATGTTGAGGCTATGTTTTGGTATTTTATTTTACATTTACATTTACATCATTTAGCAGACACTCTTATCCAGAGCGACTTACAAATTGGTGCATTCAACTTATGATAGCCAGTGGGACAACCACTTTAAAAAATATATATATATGTTTATTGGGGGTGGGGGAAGAAGGATTACTTTATACTATTCCAGGTACTCCTTAATATATTTTCTCAATATTTTGTAGGTGTACTACTCTGTTGGTGCACTGGCAAAGAAAATTTACGAGAACATGTTCCTCTGGATGGTGATAAGAATCAACCTTACTCTGGACACTAAGAACGCTCGTCAGCACTACATTGGTGTGCTGGACATTGCTGGCTTTGAGATCTTTGATGTGAGTGTTTGATGTATATTTGATAAAAAGGACATCATAAAATGATTTATCTAAAACATCACAGCTGACAAAATAAAGTACCTGTGAACTTCTATTTCAGTTCAACACCTTTGAGCAGCTGTGCATCAACTTCACTAATGAGAAGCTGCAGCAGTTCTTCAACCACCACATGTTTGTGCTGGAGCAGGAAGAGTATAAGAAAGAGGGCATCGTCTGGGAGTTCATTGACTTTGGCATGGACTTGGCTGCCTGCATTGACCTCATTGAAAGGGTTGGTGTCTTCAGTTGTGCAGTAGTTTATATGATGTGTACAGAGTATTCTTTGAGATTTTAAAGGCAATCTTTATAAAATGTGCTTCCATGACAAATTATTCTGATATTTATTCACAATGCTTTTCCCTTAGCATTAATTTATTTTAATTAATTCCTTCCACTAGCCCATGGGTATCATGTCCATCCTTGAAGAGGAGTGCATGTTCCCCAAGGCCAGTGATTCTACATTCAAAGCTAAGCTGTATGAAAACCATCTGGGCAAAAATGCATGCTTCCAGAAGCCTAGAATGATTAAGGGTAGGCCAGAGGCCCATTTCTCCCTGGTTCACTATGCTGGCATTGTTGACTACAACATTGGTAACTGGCTGGTGAAGAACAAGGACCCACTGAATGAGACTGTGGTCGGACTGTTCCAGAAGTCAAGTCTTAAGTTCCTGGCCAACCTCTTTGCAACCTATGCTGGTGCAGAAGCAGGTACTATGTGTTTCTATCTGCAAAAAATCCCTAAAATAAATAGCAATCCACAGTATATGATAGTAGCAATAATAGTATATTTGAATTGTTATTTTATTATCATACAGCTGCTGAAGAAAAAGCGGCTGGAGGAAAAAAGAAGAAAGGCTCTTCCTTCCAGACTGTGTCTGCATTGCACAGGGTAAATCTGAGCTTAGATCAATATATTTAGGATGTTTTCACATGGAAGATTATTAAAAAATGTATTATATTTGCGCAAAATTTTAGATAACATGTGGTGGATTGGCATGTTAGCATTAAATGCCGTTATGACTCGTGAGGTGATTGGAAACTCATTCACTGATGGAAAATTCTACATTTGTCATACTCACAGGAGAACTTGGGTAAACTCATGACCAACTTGAGGTCTACTCACCCTCACTTTGTACGTTGCATCATCCCCAACGAGACCAAGACTCCTGGGGCCATGGAGAATCCTCTGGTCATGCACCAGCTGCGCTGTAACGGTGTTCTGGAAGGCATCAGGATCTGCAGAAAGGGCTTCCCCAACAGGATCCTGTATGCTGACTTCAAACAAAGGTAAAAATAATTATTCATTTCCTTTCCAAAATAAATTAAACTGTTTAACTATTCAGGTCTTCCATTATTGAAGATAATTGCTTTCTGATTTAAATTCAGATACCGCATCCTCAATCCAAATGCTATCCCTGAGGGTCAATTCATTGACAATATGAAGGCAGCTGAAAAACTCCTGGGCTCTCTGGACATTGACCACACCCAGTACAGATTAGGACACACTAAGGTAAGTTATTTAAATAGATGAAAAGCAATAAGACCTGTTGGACCAGGATGGAAAAATAGCAGCAATTATCGGGGCCAAGCAGTATATTACCAATACACCACCATCCAGCCAACCTGAGCAATGCCTCTTGAAAGAATTGCTGCTATATGACTGATCATGCTTATCTCATGTCATCTGTCTCTAGGGCAAATGGGTCAAGTCAACATATACACATTTATACTTGGTATAGCGCCACCATGTAGTAGATCCAGATCTACAGTAGCAATTAAAAGCCTAGTGGCCATGATGTTTGAGATAGACTTCAGTGTTAATTTTGTCCCCTATTTTTTAATTTAGTTTTAGTCTTAGTTTTTATGACTAAAATACGTTTTAGTCTTAGTCCCATTTTAGTAATTTCACCCTTCTTAGTTTTAGTTATTATCAGTCGACTAAAATTCTGGACAATTTTTTTCTTAGTCACAGTCATTTAAGTCACATATTATTCAGTGCATTCTTTTTCCATGAAATAATGAATATTTACCTCTAACTTCCATCACATGCAAATTCAGATAGCCTTGTCCAACTAGTCCTACTATCCCATCATATACAGTGGCTTGCGAAAGTATTCACCCCCTTTGGCATTTTTCCTATTTTGTTGCCTTAAAACCTGGAATTAAAATTGATTTTTTGGGGGGTTGTATCATTTGATTTACACAACATGCCTACCACTTTGAAGATGCAAAATATTTGTTATTGTGAAACAAACAAAAAATAAGACAAAAAAACTGAAAACTTGAGCGTGCATAACTATTCACCCCCCCAAAGTCAATATTTTGTAGAGCCACGTTTTGCAGCAATTACAGCTGCAAGTCTCTTGGAGTATGTCTCTATAAGCTTGGCAAATCTAGCCACTGGGATTTTTGCCCATTCTTCAATGCAAAACTGCTCCAACTTGTACAAGTTGGATGGGTTCCACTGGTGTACAGCAATCTTTAAGTCATACCACAGATTCTCAATTGGATTGAGGTCTGGGATTTGACTAGGCCATTCCAAGACATTTAAATGTTTCCCCTTAAACCACTCGAGTGTTGCTTTAGCAGTATGCTTAGGGTCATTGTCCTGCTGGAAGGTGAACCTCCGTCCCAGTCTCACATCTCTGGAAGACTGAAACAAGTTTCCCCTCAATAATTTCCCTGTATTTAGTGCCATCCAGCATTTCTTCAATTCTGACCAGTTCCCAGTCCCTGCTGATGAAAAACATCCCCACAGCATGATGCTGCCACCACCATGATTCACTGTGGGGATGGTGTTCTCGGGGTGATGAGAGGTGTTGGGTTTGCGCCAGACATAGCGTTTTCCTTGATGGCCAAAAAGCTCAATTTTAGTCTCATCTGACCAGAGTACCTTCTTCCATATGTTTGGGGAGTCTCCCACATGGCTTTTGGCGAACACCAAACATGTTTGCTTATTTTTTTTCTTTAAGCAAAGGCTTTTTTCTGGCCACTCTTCCGTAAAGCCCAGCTCTGTGGAGTGCACGGCTTAAAGTGGTCCTATGGACAGATACTCCAATCTCCGCTGTGGAGCTTTGCAGCTCCTTCAGGGTTATCTTTGGTCTCTTTGTTGCCTCTCTGATTAATGCCCTCCTTGCCTGGTCCGTGAGTTTTGGTTGGCGGCCCTCTCTTGGCAGGTTTGTTGTGGTGCCATATTATTTCCATTTGTTAATAATGGAGTTAATGGTGCTCCGTAGGATGTTCAAAGTTTCAGATATATTTTTTTAACCCAACCCTGATCTGTACTTCTCCACAACTTTGTCCATGACCTGTTTGGAGAGCATCTTGTTCTTCATGGTGCCTCTTGCTTGGTGGTGCCCCTTGCTTGGTGGTGTTGCAGACTCTGGGGCCTTTCAGAACAGGTTTATATATACTGAGATCATGTGACAGATCATGTGACACTTAGTTAAATAAAGTCCACCTGTGTGCAATCTAACTATGTGACTTCTGAAAGTAATTGGTTGCACCAGATCTTATTTAGGGGCTTCATAGCAAAGGGGGTGAATACATATGCACGCACCACTTTTCCTTTATTTATTTTTTAGAATTTTTTTAACAAGTAATTTTTTTCATTTCACTTCACCAATTTGGACTATTTTGTGTATGTCCATTACATGAAATCTAAATAAAAATCAATTTAAATTACAGGTTGTAATGCAACAAAATGGAAAAACTCCAAGGGGGATGAATACTTTTGCAAGACACTGTAGCTGGCACATTGTTATTGTGGCAGATTGTAACCAATGCCAGCCATGATTTACCATATAGCCTAGGCTACAAAGTCTTGGCTACATTAAACAAGATAGGTATACAGATATTTTCTTCCCATAATACATTTAGGATGGTAGTGAAGTAACAGTGATTCCTATAAAAAGGGGAAAAATCTTTACTTTCCAACAATGCCAGAAATATTACTGCACTGCTAATATTCAGCAAATAGGACTAATATTTCTAATAAAAAATTTAAAAAACTACACTCACATTTGCGGAAAGCAAGAGCGGCAACACAGATGTTTATGAGTGCACAGCCTTCATGAAAGTAAGAGAGGTTAAACATGATTGTTTCTAGTTTAGGTTAGTTACAATTGAAGTGTCGTCGCAGTCTATCAGTTCAAAAGATTGAGGAGTGACTGAAATGACTGCCGAGAGCTGTGTGGGAGAGCCGGGCAGATTAGCTCAATCAGACCGCGCAATCAGACCGCGCAAATTTAATGCCCATTAGTCTCACGTGAAATTCAAGTCTCGTCACATTTTCAACTAAAATGAATCCTCATTTGTTACAGTTTTATCGTCTTTTGTTTTCTTCAGGGAAAATAGGTAATTGACAAATATTTTTTGTCATAGTTATTGTTAACAGAAATGAACACGGTTAGACTTTCTGTACATGTTTTCAAAGACCTTGCCAAATTTTGTAACTCTCGGGTCAACATAATGGGACTGAAGTTATAAAATCAATTGCACACAGGGCCAACTTGTGGTCAATTTGTGACATTTTTGTACAGAGACAAGAAATCAGCAATCTAAACATGACTACCAAGTTTTGTAAATCTGGGGGATTCCACATTCAAGTTATTTATGGTCAACTGAGTGGTGCAGCGGTCTAAGACACTGCATCTCAGTGCTTGAGGCGTCACTACAAACACCCTGGTTTGATTCCAGGCTGTATCACAACCGGCCGTGATTGGGAGTCCCTTTGGGCGGCGCACAATTGGCCCAGCGTCGTCAGGGTTTGGCCGGTGTAGGCCGTCATTGTAAATAAGAATTTGTTCTTAACTGACTTGCCTAGTTAAATAAAGGTAAAAAAAAAAAGAAAAATACAATCCTACCAAATACGAGACAATCCAAGCACCACATTATGGCCTTTGTGTATCTTTAGGTGTTCTTCAAGGCTGGTCTCCTGGGTCTACTTGAGGAGATGAGAGACGATCGTCTTGCTCTTATCATCACTGGCCTCCAGGCCCGATCACGTGGTCTAATTGCCAGAATTGAGTTCCAGAAAATGGTTGACCGCAGGTTGGAATAAGAATAAACAAAACTTCTGCAGACAATATGGTGAAGGTGGAAAAGGTTGTATAACAAGCTAATTATATTCAATTTCACAGGGATGCCTTGCTTGTGATCCAATGGAACATTCGTGCCTTCATGGGTGTCAAGAATTGGCCCTGGATGAAGATGTTCTTCAAGATCAAACCTCTGCTGAAGTCAGCAGAGACTGAGAAGGAGATGGCCAACATGAAGGAAGAATTCCTGAAGCTTAAAGAGGCTTATGCTAAAAGTGAAACCCGTAGAAAGGAGCTGGAAGAAAAGATGGTGTCCCTTCTCCAAGAGAAGAATGACCTGCAGCTCGCTGTCCAAACTGTGAGTAACTTTAACTGCATTGCAGTTGGTGCATTCACATCCTTTGTCAAAATGGCCTTTCCTAGTTAGCTTTTTAGCTAACTAGAGAAATTGAAAAAGAAGAGACATGATTTGCTAAATAGATACGTACAATCAGCATTTGTCGATCATTTGTAGTGTCCAAATATTTTGCCACCAAACTAACTTTGGAGCTTTGGAGAATTTTATGTACTTACAATATATGACACATTGACAGTCAGAAGACACTATTGGTGATGCTGAAGAGAGATGTGAGGGTCTGATCAAGAGCAAAATCCAGCTTGAGGCCAAAGCCAAAGAGCTGACAGAAAGACTGGAGGATGAGGAGGAGATGAATTCTGAGCTAACTGCTAAGAAGAGGAAGCTGGAGGATGAGTGCTCAGAACTCAAGAAGGACATTGATGACCTGGAGCTCACTCTGGCTAAAGTGGAGAAGGAAAAGCATGCCACAGAGAACAAGGTAAACGTTTATCTTTATTATTGTGTTGTTACAGAGTCTGGTGTAGCGGTTTAAGATCCGGACCACACATGCCCCCTTGGTTCGAGCCCCAGCTTGGTCAACTGTCTTTGCCCTTAACTTTCTGCACCCCTCTCTATGTCTATCTCTCACTCTGTATTTATATCTGTCCTGTCAATAAACACTCAAATACGTAAGATCGGATTTCTTATCTCCTAAAAATAAAAATCGAATTAAGTGGCTTGGAGGAAAGTGTAAGGACACTGTTCTGTTTCCTTAGGTTAAAAACCTGACTGAGGAAATGGCAGCTCTGGATGAAATCATTGCCAAGCTGACCAAGGAGAAGAAGGCTCTGCAGGAGGCTCATCAGCAAACGCTGGATGACTTGCAAAGTGAGGAGGACAAAGTCAACACGCTGACCAAGGCCAAAGCCAAACTGGAACAGCAAGTTGATGATGTGAGTATCAAATAGTAATTCATAAAAATTACAACAAAATTAGTAATATCCTAAATATAGACTACAGTAAATTGCTTACTCAGAATATTGTTTAATATATCCTTTATCAGCTTGAAGGGTCTCTGGAGCAAGAGAAGAAGGTGAGAATGGACCTTGAGAGAGCCAAGAGAAAGCTGGAGGGAGACTTGAAGTTGACCCAGGAGAGCCTAATGGACCTGGAGAATGACAAGCAGCAGCTGGAGGAGAGAATGAAGAAGTAAGATCACAACCCACAAAATCTCATGAATAGTTATTGTACAGAAAGTGCTAAAATGTTTGCTTTACTTATCAGGAAGGACTTTGAGATGAGCCAACTCAACAGCAAGATTGAGGATGAGCAGGCCATGAGTGCCCAGCTTCAGAAGAAACTGAAGGAGCTGCAGGTATTTCAATAGCATTGTTGAAAAGGGAATATTTCTGTTACAACTGTTTATGTTCTGATCTTACCAGAAAATTTGAATTCCTACCATTTCAGGCCCGCATTGAGGAGCTGGAGGAAGAGCTGGAGGCTGAGAGGGCTGCCCGTGCCAAGGTGGAGAAACAGAGGGCAGATTTGTCCAGAGAGCTAGAAGAGATCAGTGAGAGGTTGGAGGAGGCTGGTGGTGCTACTGCTGCCCAGATTGAGATGAACAAGAAGAGGGAGGCTGAGTTCCAGAAGGTGCGCAGAGACCTTGAAGAAGCTACTCTGCAGCATGAGGCTACAGCTGCAACTCTGAGGAAGAAAAATGCTGACAGTGTAGCTGACCTGGGAGAACAGATTGACAACCTTCAGAGAGTGAAGCAGAAGCTGGAGAAAGAGAAGAGTGAGCTCAGGCTGGAGCTGGATGATGTGGTCTCCAACATGGAGCAGATTGTCAAGTCCAAAGTATGTGGTATCATTGGTAAATCTAAATAAAATGTTTTCTATACATGCTTTTTAAAGATGCAATCTAGTGACGCTGTTCTGTCATTCAAAACCAAATCTGTTTTTAGACAAACTTGGAGAAAATGTGCCGCACTCTAGAGGACCAGATGAGTGAATACAGGACGAAAGCTGAGGAAGGACAGCGATCCATCAATGATTTCACCATGCAGAAAGCAAAGCTTCAAACTGAGAATGGTATATTAAAAACAAACCTGGACATTCACATGAACAGCCACAATAAATAACCAGATTAAGTAATATAATTTAAAATAATTTGAATTGCATGAAAACAGGTGAATTTGCCAGACAGTTGGAGGAGAAGGACTCTCTAGTCTCCCAATTGACCAGAGGTAAGCAGTCCAACGTTCAGCAGATTGAAGACCTCAAGAGACAACTGGAGGAGGAAGTCAAGGTATTGATACAAAGAATGCAGTGTCCTTTATCCAACTACATCTATCCTCAGGCATAATTACAGATCCTTTCTCAAATGTCCTTACCAGGCAAAGAACGCACTTGCCCATGCAGTGCAGTCTGCTCGCCATGACTCAGATCTGCTGAGGGAGCAGTATGAGGAGGAGCAGGAGGCCAAGGCTGAGCTGCAGCGTGGCATGTCCAAGGCTAATGCTGAGGTGGCTCAGTGGAGAACCAAGTATGAAACTGATGCCATCCAGAAGACTGAAGAGCTTGAGGACGCAAAGTAAGGAAGTTTTCTTACTTTCTCTTACTTTTCAGGCTATTGAACCTTGGCTGATAGGGCGATACACAAATGTACATGATGAATAAATAATACATTGATTACCTGTTAAACAACCATTATACTTTATTTCAGACAGAAAAAAGGTAGCTGTTCTGAAATGTGTTTCTCATCTATGCCAATCTAGGAAGAAGCTGGCTCAGCGTCTGCAGGATGCAGAGGAAGCTGTGGAAGCTGTTAATGCTAAATGTTCATCCCTGGAAAAGACTAAACACAGACTCCAGAATGAGATTGAAGATCTCATGGTGGATGTGGAGAGATCCAATGCAGCTGCTGCCTCTCTGGACAAGAAGCAAAGGAACTTTGACAAGGTAAGAAAAAAACATATGTAATATGTAATAACATATGTAATACACAAGTCCTATTAGCCTTCATTATAGTACATGAGGGGCGACAGGTAGCCTAGTGGTTCAAGAAGCATCTGAATCCCAGCTCAGATGAGAAAATGTGGTGTTGAGTGAGCTAGCAACCAGAATGTTTCTGGCATCATCTTACATACTACCATCGCCTGCCATTGTGCAATTGAACAAGGCACTTAACCCCTATAATTGCTCCAGCTGCACTGCGGCTGACCCATTGCTTCAGACCCTGTGTGTCTCGGGGGGTTGGGTTGTGAGTTCTCGTTAAGTTAATGGACAATAAAGAACATCTTATCTTAATCATATACTGCATTCTAACTACCTAAAATACCTGTATAACTTCCAGGTCCTGGCTGACTGGAAGCAGAAGTTTGAGGAGTCTCAGACTGAGCTGGAGAGCTCCCAGAAAGAGGCCAGATCTCTCAGCACTGAGCTCTTCAAACTCAAGAACTCTTATGAGGAGTCTCTGGATCATCTGGAGACCATGAAGAGGGAGAACAAGAACCTCCAAGGTCAGAGCATGAGCATTATTAGCCTATATAACTAAGTCAACGAAAGATCGATATGTAATAGAGATTATGGATGTGAATGTTTAAAACGGAATTGAGATCGTTTACGTTAAGTTAAGAAAAAAACAACAAAACGAAAAACAAGGTTTGTGTTTTTTTCCACAAAATGTAAATCACAGTGCAGTTATCACAAAACATATTATTTGCCGTGTTATAGCCAAACTAGACAATAAGCTATAAAAGGCCTGGGGTTCGTTGTGTAATTTAAATAAAACCAGAGAGGAAGAAGCAAACTTTAGGTCAATTTACAGATTACCAAGACATATGAGAAAGGTTATTTCTACCTGCCCCGTCCTCTCCCTCGCGCTGGCTCGCTTACTGTTTCTCTTTGCGAATGTGTCAGTCTTCGGTCTGTTGCATGTAGAATATCCTAGCCTATTCATTGATAGGCCCTGCTTTACTGAAGTTTCAAGACATTGCAAGCCAAGAAATTGCGAGATACAGCATTCCATTGAGAGATCCAGCTTTTGATTACCCAATAGATAGGCCAAGTGCACGGTTCTGACTGTCTGCCTAGTGGCGGACCTGCCTATAATGTGCCACTTCCCTCTCTCTCCGTCCCTCGCTAGCTCGCTAGTGTTCTCGGAAGTACGGTAACTGATCAGTCTCCTCCTTTCCAAAAATACTGAATTTTAGGAGTTGAGGAGTCGCGGAATCTAATCTTCACACTCAGAAATGGGAGTTGACACCGGGAGATGAAGTGCAAGGAGTCGAGGAATCAATTATTTTGGAGTCGACTCTCCTCCACTACGTCATCGTCATTAACAGTTTGAAAAATGACAAAGGCAAGCGACAGCAGTGAAGTCCTGTATGGTAATACTTTGACAAGTTAAATGAGAAGGTGGTGAAATGCAAACTTTGCGAGTTGGAATTGAGGTACAGTAATGGTAGTACTGCTGCAATGCTTAACCATCTGAAAGGGACGCACTGTGAGACCCAAACCGTTGCTGGCAGCAACACAGCTGCAGTGTGAATTCACGTGGAATTGTATGAATTTTTGTTATCGTTTTAACGGAAAACTGATACAAAATCTCAGATTAAACGTTAGCATTTTTTTCCCATTTGCCTGATCCCTAATCAAGAATAGTTATCACAAAACGATTCCGATGTACAATTATATTTTTCCACAGAGGAAATTTCTGACCTGACTGAGCAGCTTGGTGAGGGAGGAAAGAGCATCCACGAACTGGAAAAGATCCGTAAACAGCTGGAGCAGGAGAAGGCTGAGATACAGTCTGCTCTAGAGGAAGCTGAGGTGAGAATATAAAATATTTACAGATTGTGAAAGTACCAACATTTAATTTTAAGATTTTACAAACTATGGGTGGCTGTGTTCTCATAGGGCTCCCTGGAGCATGAGGAGGGCAAGATCATGAGAGCTCAGCTGGAGTTTAATCAGGTGAAAGCTGACATTGAACGGAAACTGGTGGAGAAGGATGAGGAAATGGAGATGAATAAGAGGAACCAGCAGAGAGTTGTGGATACCCTGCAAAGCTCCCTGGAGTCAGAGACTCGCAGCAGGAATGAAGCTCTCAGGCTGAAGAAGAAGATGGAGGGAGATCTCAATGAGATGGAGATCCAGCTCAGCCAGGCCAACAGGCAGGCATCCGAGGCCCAGAAGCAACTTAAGGGTCTCCATTCCCATCTGAAGGTAATACTTCCACACCATTGAATTAAAAACATTGCTTGTGCATTCAGAAAAAGCCAAACCACACTGTGAAACAATACAATAAATATAGTAAAATCTATTCTCTCTACAGGATTCTCAAATGCAGCTGGATGATGCTCTTCGTAGCAATGATGACCTGAAGGAGAACATTGCCATTGTGGAGAGACGCAACAACCTGATTCAGGCTGAACTGGATGAGCTGAGAGCCCTGGTGGAGCAGACTGAGAGAGGCCGCAAACTGGCTGAGCAGGAACTGCTGGATGTTAGTGAGAGAGTTCAGCTGCTGCACTCACAGGTAAGACAGTAATATAGAACAATTAGGGTTCTCCTTAAATATCTGCTACTTGAGGTATGTAGAGGTAATATACAAATCATTTGTCATATATACTGTATGTGTAGAACACCAGCCTACTGAGCCAGAAGAAGAAGCTAGAGGGCGACACATCCCAACTTCAGAATGAAGTGGAGGAGGCTGTGCAGGAGTGCAGAAATGCTGAGGAAAAGGCCAAGAAGGCCATTACTGATGCTGCCATGATGGCAGAGGAGCTGAAGAAGGAGCAGGACACCAGTGCTCACCTGGAGCGCATGAAAAAGAACATGGAGCAGACTATCAAGGACCTGCAGCACCGCCTGGATGAAGCTGAACAAATCGCCATGAAGGGTGGCAAGAAGCAGATCCAGAAGCTGGAGGCCAGAGTATGTGTCTAAGCTACATTCTCTTCTATTAATTCAATGTCACATTTCATATTTCTAGACATATTTCTATCTTCAATATTGAAAGTAGTGGTAACTAACAAAATAATTGGAAATGGTGTGTTAACATCGATCATGTATTTTTAGGTGAGAGAGCTAGAGAGTGAAGTGGAAATGGAGCAAAGGAGGAGCAGTGATTCTGTGAAAGGAGTCCGTAAATATGAGAGACGCATCAAGGAGCTCACATACCAGGTACATCATAAACTTTAAGTTGAAAGTGCACTATTAACATGTTCAGAATCAAATGTAAAATGTATACTGTATTCAGTATGACGCTATTTTTTCCATTATTTTTGGGTGCAGACTGAGGAAGATCGTAAGAATTTGAGCCGTCTGCAGGACCTGGTGGACAAACTGCAGCTGAAGGTCAAATCCTACAAGAGAACTTCAGAGGAGGCTGTAAGTAACCTTCTAACTGATGCATTTGTAATTCTCAAATTGTTTTGTTTACTAGAAACTTAAATCATGTTTTTTTTAATTCACAGGAGGAACAAGCCAATGCCAATTTGGGCAAGTTCCGTAAGATTCAGCATGAACTGGATGAGGCAGAAGAGAGGGCTGATATTGCTGAGTCTCAGGTCAACAAGATGAGAGCCAAGAGTCGTGATGCCGGTTCCAAGGTCAGTGAAGTTGCTGTTTCAATTGAATGTATGGCAAAAGCCTAAACTTTCTGGGATCTGGGACTCTGTTTAATGGTAATTTCGATTCTCGATATTCACCCATGTATTCCTGAAGAAAATAAGTAATAAATGCATAATTTGTTACCAAGTAACTATACATACCTGTTGAAGTTCCCCATTGTAAAATTTCAACCAGAGGACACGGTATATGGCAGTATAAAATGTTTTTCTGTATACAGTAAAATGAAAATGTTCTAATAATCAATCTATCTTCTCTGTCACAGAAAGGAAAGGATGAGGAGTGAGGTATAGAGTTGTGATGCCGGCTCCCAGGTCAGTTCTATAAATCAGAATAATATTGGTTATAATTTGCAAACTCATGTCATGTTTGACGACAGCCCCAACCTTTTGCTTTTTAAGCATTTGATGTCCAATAACCATACTATCATTCATATAACTATACATTTGAATATTGTTCCCTGTTATGGGTAAAACAATATTTTTTCAAAAGCTTTATATATTTTGGTTTCAGTGGTGAGTTACTGTGTGATGGCAAGCGACACATTTTGATTTATCGTGATAAATGCTGGACATCGTTGCTTCTTGAAATATTTTTGTCAAATCTTTCATTTACTAGTAGACACAGTTGGTGTAATTCATGATGTTTATAGTGTATTCTATTCACTCAAACAATGAGCCCCAAAGTTTAATATGTAGTTGACGACACACAGAATATTGTAAGAATGTTTTTAGTGTTTACAGTGGTTTATTACATTTTAACCTGCATCCATCTTCTGTCACAGAAAGGACATGATGAAGAGTGAAGCTCTCGGATGGACCTTTCTGAAAATCTCCTGACTGTAGTGCTTTAGTTTTTCTCTATTCTCCATGTAACATGAGCAGAATAAAGAATAAAGTACATTCAAATAGCCCCTCTGTGTATTGCTTGATTCTATTACAAACAGGAATTCTAGACTAGATTTTGGAAGAATGGAATTCACTATTATTTAACAAAATTAAGTTAACACTGGTTTTCATAGAATATACTGATAACTTACCTCACAGAGAACCATTAAAATAAACAAACATCTCTCGCTTTTGCGTCTGGAGATGCTTCTGAGCCAAATTGGGTCCCCTAAATGAACAGAAATATTGTTCAGAAATACTTAATTAGACAGAGTGTGAAACACCTACCCACACCCATGAGCAATATCATATTTTGTTGGCATAAAAGTAAGGATTTGTGTGGTTTAATTAGAAATGGTTTATTATTAGATCACAAGTGAATCAACATTACAAATCAGATTTTATTGATCACATATACATATTTAGCAGATGTTATTGGGGGTGTTGCGAAATGCTTGTGTTCCTAGCTCCAACAGTGCAATTTTCAATCAAAAATGTGACATTAGCAAATAAACTTCCATAGTTTTTATCTGCTAACAAACCTACCCTTGACTATTGTTTGATGTGGAGCCAAATAATCAATGGAATTCAGACAGTGTTGGTGGTCATTCAGGTATTAATTTTAGTTATCGCAGTGCTAGCTGTGCCACTAGAGATCCTGGTTCGAATCCAGGCTCTGTCGTAGCCGGCCGTGACCGGGAGACCCATGGGGCGGCGCATAATTGGCCCAGCATTGTCCAGGGTAGGGGAGGGAATGGCCGGCAGGGATGTAGCTCAGTTGGTAGAGCATGGCGTTTGCAACGCCAGGGTTGTGGGTTCGAGTCCCACGGCGGGCCAGTATGATTTTTTAAATTTTTTTTGGATAAGAGCGTCTGCTAAATGACTAAAATGTAAATGTAAGTAAATCAGGTGTTAAATGAGGTGAAAAGGAGACTGGAGTGCCGCTTTAGGCAGGGGAGTCCCATTGAGACCACAGTCTCTTTTTCAAGGGAGCCCTGCATTACAAGACCAAGCAATTACACAATCAAGGCAGGAGCCTAGGAAACACACAAATAACACATTTAACCATGGCAGCAATGAATGGGGTTCACAGGACGACAGAAAGGACACAATATCAGTTGGATAACAAGTAAGCGCTCTATTATGTAGGAGTTAGCTTCCTTTATGTGCAATCAGTGAAAGCATTACCATGTTTATCTCTCAATACCACAAGGATGATGAAAGTGGAGTTTAGTCTAGTGCTGTAAGTTGATTATCTTACCAAAGTTTTATCAACACATTGCCTGTAGTACTCAGGCTTCAAAAACTCTCAACCATTGTTACTCTCCCTTCCAGGATGGCTACAAGCCCTCCCCCTCCCGCCCTTCAGCAACTCATATCACGACTCCATTCTGCTCCTCCCTTCCTATAGGCAGAAACCTCTGCTAAGGTCTATTCAATGCTGGTCTGACCAATCAGAATCCATCCTTCAAGATTGTTATGATTACGCGGACTGGGATATGTTCCGGGTTGCCTCTGACAATAACATTGACGTATACACTGACACGGTGACTGAGTTCATCAGGAAGTGTATAGGGGATATTGTTCCCACTGTGACTGTTAAAACTTACCCAAACCAAAAACCGTGGATAGATGGCAGCATTCGCGCAAAACTGAAAGCGTGAACCACCACATTTAACCATGGCAAGGTGACTGGGAAGATGGTCAAATACAAACAGTGCAGTTATGCCCTCCGTAAGGAAATCAAACAGGCAAAACGTCAGTACAGAGACAAAGTGGAGTCGCAATTCAACGGCTCAGACACAAGATGTATGTGGCAGGGACTCCAGACAATCACTGATTACAAAGGGAAAACCAGCCTCGTCGTGAACACCGATGTCTTGCTCCTGGACAAGCTAAACACCTTCTTCGCCCGGTTTGAGGATAACACAGTGCCACCAACGCGGCCCGCTCCCGAGGACTGTGGGCTCCCGTTGTCCGTGGCCGACGTGATTAAGATGTTTAAGAATGTTAACCCCCACAAGGCTCCCAGCCCAGACGGCATCCCTAGCCGTGTCCTCAGAGCATGCGCAGACCAGCTGGCTGGAGTGTTTACGAACATTTTAAATCTCTCCCTATCCCAGTCTGCTGTCCCCACTTGCTTCAAGATGTCCACCATTCTTCCTGTATCCAAGAAAGCAAAGGTAACTGAACTAAATGACTATCGCCCCGTAGCACTCACTTCTGTCATCATGAAGTGCATTGAGAGGCTAGTTAAGGATCATATCACCTCCACCTTACCTGACACCCTAGACCCACTAAAATTTGCATACGGCCCCAATAGATCCACATACGATGTAATCGCCATCTGAACAAGAGGAATACCTATGTAAGAATGCTGTTCATTGACTACAGCTCAGCCTTCAACACCATAGTACCCTCCAAGCTCATCATTAAGCTTGGGGCCCTGGGTCTGAACCCCGTCCTGTGCAACTGGGTCCTGGACTTCCTGACGGGCCGCCCTAAGGTGGTGAAGGTATGAAACAACACCTCCACTACGCTGATCCTCAACACAGGGGCACCACAAGGGTGCATGCTCAGTCCCCTCCTGAGTCCCCTCCTGTACTCCTTGTTCACCCATGACCGCGTGGCCACGCATGCCTCCAACTCAATCATCAAGTTTGCAGACGACACAACAGTAGTAGGCCTGATTACCAACAATGACAAGACAGCCTACAGGGAGGAGGTGAGGGCCCTGGCGGAGTAGTGCCAGGAAAATAACCTCTCCCTCAACGTCAACAAAATGAAGGAACTGATCGTGGACTTCAGGAGACAGCAGAGGGAGCACGCCACCATCCACATCGACGGGACCGCAGCGGAGAAGGTGAAAAGCTTCAAGTTCCTCGGCGTACACATCACTGACAATCTAAAATGGTCCACCCACACAGACAGTGTGGTGAAGTAGGCACAACAGCGCCTCTTCAACCTCAGGAGGCTGAAGAAATTCGGCTTGACCCATAAGACCCTCACAAACTTTTACAGATCTCTAGGTCAAATGGGGCGACGGATATGAGGATTTAAGTGAGACTGCTTGTAACAGCGCCACCCATAGGCCAATCGGTGCCATTATTTTTGACCAAGTTACTCATGGTCTATGCTTGAGTTATTTGACCATGTGAAGGAAAAAAATTATAAGAATACAGAGAATAACAATAGGTTTCACAGCTTCGCTGTAAACCCCTAAGAAATATACAAAACAACACAAACATAAAACACAACCCACTCCTCAGTGAACAGGCTTCAACAACGTACTTTGGAGCAGTCCCTCCATGAGATGGTGTTAAAAGAAGGTTGCGTTGCAGCAATTAACCCCTGACCTAAAACTTAACCCATTGCTTGCTGTTGGAGCCTCCTTCCTTCAAGCTTAGCATCCACATTCCCATCACCAACTATGTTTCAAACAAACACACCAACTGGTTCTCATAGTGAATGCTTCTCAGAAATATTTCCTCTCTATGGCCTTCACAATCATGCATTGGTTATAGTAAACTTATACTAATTAATACATTCCCTCCAGTTAATTGGAGTGATGCTTCTGTTCAAGGACGAACATTGTTCTAATTATTATAATAATGATCTTAAATTGCTTTATGTGTGACCAAATTTCAGTGAACAGATATTTTTATAGACCACTAGATATCAATGTACCTCACAAGCTGTCCATCTCAAACAGGAAAGGCACTCAGCAGGAATTTCACTGGGTTATAGTTGTACTCAAGGACAAAGGGAGGGAAACAATGTGGCATAAACAAGACGGAGGTAAGGTTACACCCCACAAGCCAACAACTTGAGAGACAGCAACAGCTACACCCCACTTATTAGAATAGAATAGAATACAACTTTATTGTACGTTACAGTAAACTATTTACATATGTCTTCTGCTCCGTTCTAAACCCCCAAAATGTAGATTTCAAGTCAAAATTCCCTAGGCTCATGTGTATGATTTTCACACCTCCTACACATATTTAGGTTATATTTCAATCACAACCGTGTCTTGTATTCTACTTAATGTATAGGCTACTGTTGGTGCTTCTCAATAGTTTTCTTCATTGGGC